CAGGCCCAGGCTAAGAATGATAAATGTTACAGCCTAGACTCATAAATGTGTGTGTGTGTATATATATACACACGCATGCATATGTGATGTGAAAGCAGGAAAGACAATATTTGAAGGGAAGAAGGAGACTAGGCACAGAGGAGTTAGGGTGGGAAAACAGACTAATGGAGTATTTAAAGAAAAAGGGGCAAATCATATGTTTAAAAAGTAAAATAAGGAGTGGAAAATGTGGCTCAGTCAGTAGAATGCTGGCCTAGTATTCACAAAGGCCCTAGGTTCAGCCCCTGGCATCGTATATGCTTGAGTATGGTGGCTACAAGCCTGTAATCCCAGCCCTGAGAAGATGGAGGCTGGGGAACCAGAAGTCAAGGAATTTAGAGTTAGGAGGTTAACGTGGCATGTGTGATACTCAAAATAAAGCAAAATATGTAAACAAATAAGGAGTTGCTATTTGTACCTTGGATTCTTCTCCTGAGCAGACAAAAGGCAGTGTGAAGCCGCATTCAGGAGGGCAGACAATTGCACAGGATTGTGGTCGCTAACTCAAACTTTGGGAAGAGGGAAATTGTTGTGGGACTGAGAAGACTTCATGCTGGGTGGAGAGGGATGGGCAGGAGCTCTTGGTGGAGTTGAATTGTGGATGTGAGATTTGGATTGCTCTAAAGAAGAGGGAGGCTGTGGTTAAGACAGGAGTTGAGCATTGAATTTCAAGGAGAATATGAGAGTCTTTTTGGGGAAAAAAAAAAGTGCACAGCTTTTTGTCTGTGTACAGCATGTTCACAGTGCCTGAGGATGCCTTGGATCTCCTGGACTGGAACTACAGATGGTTGTGAGCCCCTTTGTGGGTGCTGGGGATTGAACCCAGGTCCTCTGGAAGAGCAGCTGGTGCCCTTAACTGCAGAGCCATCTCTCCAGTCCCTGAGCATAGAAGAGTCTTGAGTAAAGAAGAGGGTGAATTTGACAGACGGTAGAGGAAAAAGTGGGTAATTAAAGTTGGAGCATTTGGCGATTGCTGGTGTTGATGTGTGTGTGTGCACATATTTGTCTGTCTTTGTGCCTGTGTGTGTGGTTAAGCTCATACCTTCGTGTGTGTCTGTGGGTGCATGCATGCATACATTCGTACATGCGTGTTTGTATTTCTTGTAGTCCTAGGCAGATGCTTATACATGGAGCTAACAATGTGAGTCTGCCTTTGAGAACCTCTGCTTACTTTCCCATGACTAAGAACCAGGAAGAGTAGAGGTGGTCATTACACAGCTTGTGACAAAGTGGCCTCACTACTTCCTGTTTCCGTGGGGGAGGGGCGGTTGGGAAGAGGCGCTTAGGGGATAGCAGCAAATGGGGTCTGAGTGGTGTCAAGAATCGCAGGGCCATGTTTTCTGTAGAAAACAGTTTCCACATCCTGCATGGCTAAACCATTGGAGCAAGGTGTAGCAGTCGGCTGGAACTGAACTGTAGTGAGAGAGCAGCAGCCGCAGGCCAGACCAAGGACACAGGAACAGGCTAGGGAGTCTGAAACTCCCTCCTCCTGCCTTCTGTGTCATTTCTCCTAACCCACTTCCCCAGCGGGTCCTTATTCAGAAACCACAGCCTACTCTGAAAGCACAATAGAAAATAACTGTCAGGGTACTTCTTCAGGCTTCTAGACCAACACTGCAGAAGGATGCTATTTGTAACTGTGTCCTCCTGCATGAAGGAGAGGCCATTTCTGAGGGGTGGCTGAGGTAGGGGGCTGTTCTCATTCTCTTCCCTCACTGACGAGTTTATTGTGACGCCCGAGCCAGGCTGCCAGCCCAGGGAGAGAACAAGATGTGCCCACTGCAGGCACTAACAGGGAGACCTTTCTTCCCTGACTGGGTAGGATGTTTTTCATGGCGACTGTAAGGTATGACAATGGGTTAAGGAGCCATCCCCTTGTGATGCTCAGACCCTGGAGACGGATCCAAGAGTGGGGTCCTTGTAGTGCTTACAGCTGGATCTCCAAGTTGGTACTTTTTTTCTGGGGTGGATACAGATTTACCTGCTAATAAAGACAAGAAATAAATCTGTTAAAAGTGACGCTTCTCTGAAGCATAATGTACAGACTGTAACATCCATGTATTTTCAATGTCCAGTGGTTGATTCTTTTGGAAATATTCATTTGGTTTTATTTATGTATATGTGTGCCTGTGTGAATTTATATGTACCACACATGAGCAGGTGTCTGTAGAGGCTGGAAGAGGGGGGTAGGTCTTCTGGGACTGGAGTTATGATGCATGGCGTGGGCGCTGGGAACTGAACCCAGGTCCTTGACAACAGCAGTTAGAAGCCATTACTTCTCAGCCCCCAATTTAGTGATTTAGTAAATAATGATGGGAGTGTTTAATTGTCACCACAGTTCAATTTGGGGCGTTTTCACCTCCCTGAAAAGTTCCTAAATGGCTAGGTTGCTCAGTGGCCATTCTCATATCCAACTAGAGCAGAAAATCTTTTGCTCTGCTGTCTGACAGATTATCATAATCTGCACATTTCAGAAATAAATGAAGTAAAAAATGTATTTGCTTATGTCTTCTTTTGCTTAGCGTACTTTGTGGTCATCTGGGTCGTGGCACGTGTCTGTGTATTATTCCTTTCCATTGTTGAGTAGTATTCCCTTGCGTTGATTTATGGTCAGCACTCTGTTTTAACCTAGGGCTCAGGAGCCGCATCTCTGTGTTTGTTACTGTCTAAGACAATTCGTGATACGAAACAGGCAGTCAGTATGTTAGATGGTAGAAAAGGGACCCTGTTGCTTAACAAGATGTGATTCACTTCAGATCTACTACTTGGGAAAGATACTGTGTCTGTTGAGTCTGTTTAATTTTTTTCTTCTTTTTGGGTGTGTGTGCATGTGTGTGTATAGCACATGTATGTATGCCTAGGGAATATATGTGTATGGAGGGTGGGGGGTCTTCTTTCACTGCTCTCCACTTTAAGTTTTGAGACAGGTTCTTTCACTGAACCTGGAGCTCGCGAATTAGCTAGACTGGCTGACTAGTGAGCCCCAGGGAGCCTCCTGCTTTCATATCTCCACACATGGCTCTTTAAATGGGTGCCAGTTCCTACCAGGACCTACAGTATTTTAGGTACCGTCAGTCGTCTGGAGTATAGGGTAGGACAGGGTGTATCACTGGGTTTTCCTGTCCTCACAGCGCGTGGCTGTGCAGTCCACCTTGTACTGATATCAAAGCCCGGCTGCACCAGTTGTGTGCCCAGCTGCAGCTGAGTCGTTTCATCGTCGACTGCAGTGAATAACACAGCCATGCCGGTTTCCTGTTGGGGCTGTAACAAATGATGGCAGAGTCAACGGCTTGGAACAACAGGAATGTGTTATCTCAAGTTCTGGAGCCCAGAGCTCTGAAATGGAGGTGTGGACTGGCCTTCGTGCCCCTTGGGGACTCAAGAGAGTCTACCCCATGCAGCTCTGGCTCCCGGCAGCGACTGGCTGTTGCGGTTGGCTAGGTCGCAGCAAATCTCTGCTTCCATTCATTCTCCTTTCACCCTAAGGTCACCGAGGAGCCTCTCGAGATCCTCAGGTCTGCTGCCTCTCTTGGCTGATGAGACAGCGCCCGTGGCTACAGGAGGTTGGCTTGGGAATCTCAGGGGCTGCTCTTCTGCCGCCTGCATCAGCTGTGACCACTGAGATAAGGGTGTTCTGTAGGTGCCATTTAGTTGTTCTTCTTTCTGTTGCTCTTCTAGGGGTGGATTTGCCGAGTCCTGTGGTGAATTTCTTTAACTTTGAAGCCGCCAGTCTAGTTTTCGAGGGGTCTCTTGTTTTGCAGGGCTGCCAGCCAGGGGCGTGAGGTTTAGCAGCTCTGTTTTGTGGACGAGCATCTTAAGCGCAGCCCATCTGGTAGGTGTGGGAGTGGCATCTGATGGCGGTTTTGATATGCATTCTCCTCATGACTAATATTGCTGAATGCGTTTTCATGTGCTTCTTAGTCACTCGTGTGGTGTTCCGGTGAAACACCTATGCAAAGCTCTGGCCTGTTCTTCCCCGGTCCAGTTGTCACTTAGTCTGGCTTGGGGCCCTAATGCTGCTGGTCCTAAGGATCGGAGACCCAGGATTACTCTGTCCCCAGTGCATCGAGGGCTGGGACAAGGTGCCATCTCTGTATTGTGACCTCTAGCACTTTGATACTAGAGGTAGATGTCTCCCACATGTAGCCTTTTTGAGTGGTGAACACCATGCCAAGGAAGCCAAGAGAACACTCCCCTGGGCACGAAGGACCATAAGCTTAAATGAGTTTCACGTTGGCTGTTGTCTCGTGGACAGGAGGACTGACCTGCAGACATTCTCATTGTATTCTCTAGCCTGGATTCTTCTGTGGTGTTAGCCCTGCTTTAATTAAACAGTTATTTCTGGGATTATATATTTGATATCTTTCTTCCTCTCACTAGACTATCATGTTTCCTGGGAACAGAGGCCACATCTGTGCGTTTTATCTGACACAGCATGTGGTATGTGTTAGGCAACCAGTCGGCATGTTGGCGGGCATACAGCTCTGTTTTCTGCTTTACGTAGAGCCGATCACATGAAATAATTCAACAGAGGGTGACTTGCTGAAAACCGTAATGGCTAGTTGTTGGTTGTCAGCTTGACAGAACTGGAGAGAGGGGACCTAAGCTGATGAACTGGATTGGTCTGTGAGCTTGTCTTCGGGGCCTTTTCTTCAGTGTTGGCTGGTGGAGGGTAGCCCACTGTGGGTAATACCATCCCTAGGCAGATAGGCCTGGGCTGTACAAGTCAAGTAGCTGAGCAAGCCAGGGGAAGCAAGCCAGCACGCCATGGTTTCTGCTTCAGTTCCTGCTTCCAGGTTTTGGCATTGCGCTCCTGCCCTGGCTTCCCGAGATGATGGCTTGTAAACTTGGTCCGGGTTTTATCACAACAACAGGGAGGCAGACTAGAGCTAATGTATCCGTCGCTCACTAACTTTTGAGAGTGCGTGGTTTCTAATCCCGTTTCTTCTCCTTTTTGACAGCGATCTATAACTACAACGCCTCTCAAGATGTGGAGCTCTCCTTGCAGATCGGTGACACCGTCCACATCCTGGAGATGTATGAGGGTGAGCGCAATGTCCTCCTGCCCGGTGGGGCCCAGGGAGAATCAGTAGGAGTTACTTATTAACAATGCACTGAGCATTACAGTCCCTGTGCTCTTCTTCTCCCGCTGCAGGCCCAATAGTGAGAGCCTATTGGGAAGTACTCAAGGTGAAATAGCCCTGTGCTGAGTCAGGATGCTTTTCAACCCAGCCGGCTCATGGGAATGTGGATGTCCCCAGACATCCAGAGTCAAGGTTTTCTGCCACCAGATGCAGAACAGTTAGCTGCAGAGCTGGCTAGGGGAGACACACTTGGGACACCGGGCTTGTGGTAGTTGGAAGGAAGCATTGCCATTTTGGCATGGGTCTCTTTCTACTTGGTGCCCAGCGTTGCCAGGTTAGGGGGGAATGAGGGCAAGGCCTTTTAAATGGTACTGAGACTCTGAGAGAATTAGGTCAGGGCGGTCACAGCAGGCCACCGCTTGTGTTTGTCTGTTTCCTCCAGCCAGCTCAGGCTTGGGCAGTGGGTTTGGCTAACCTGGGCAATTCTTCAGACTGTTTGTGCGCAAAGCACAGAGCATGCCTGCATTCCCTCATCCCACCCTCCGAGACCTCCTCCGAGTCACATCTCGAGTCCCAAATCCTGAAGCAACAAAAGTGTATCCAAGCCACTGAGGTTGAGGAGCAAAGCAGAGAACAAACTTTTGGGCCCAGTTTATAGTAACCCTGTGAAAGTTGGGTTAAGAGATTGAGGCAGATTTTTTTTTTCTCTCTCTCTTAGAGCAATGCTTGTTGGGACAGACACTCTGCTTTGGTAAATTCTGGGATGGTGGAATGGCAGCAGTGTCACCTAGAAGCCTGTGTAGGTCTCCTGGTTAGTACCAAATGGTACCAGAAGGGGAAGGCATGGGAAGCAGAGGGGAGAGGAAGCAGGATTTGGCCATTAAGCTGGGCCATCCACCTGCCTCCGTGGGGCACTGCTGTGAGGGCTGCCTCCCTTAGAGCTGGATCCTTGCACCGCCCTTTCCCTTCCATACCACTCCATTGTAGCCATTTGGCTCCCAGGGGGTAGCAAGCCACAGAGAGAACCATGTGGACCCTTGCCTTCATGCTCCTGCTTTTACTGCCATCCATGCCAACCTCAGGCCTCACCAGGCTTCGGTTCTAAGTCAACTCACGACACCTGAGGTGCATGTTTTTGGACTCTTGCTTCTGGAAACCACGGTCCCCTCAGACCTTACTAGGTCAGTCCTTTGTGGGGATGGGGCCGATAAATATATACAACCTTCCCAGTGTGCAGGTAAAAAGTACCGGCTCAACTTTTGTGACTTCCATGTGGGCCTGAAGGAATGTATGCTTAAGGATCATTGAGTATGACGTTCCATACGTGACATTTGGATTCAGATTACTTTGACCCAGTTTTTCAATCTGCTATATGCTTTTTTCTGCTCTTTCAGTTACTGTGTTGAGTTTTTCACCACGATTGTAGCTTCTGTCTCTACAGAGATGGGAATTTTTTTTTTTCTTTATATAGTCTTAAACCTGTTTTTAGAATATATGTGCCTACCATACCATTTTAGAATTGTGCTAAATATCTCTTTTAACTCAGGCTTATTAAGCTTGTTATCACTGTCTTTAATCCTTGGTGCTTTGCGCTTTACTGAAATTACAGCCAACTCATTATGAGGTCCAGCTCTCTAATTTTTTGCCCTGCTGGGCCCCATAAGGTCCTTAGAAATGCTACTCTAAGCCACTCAGACAGCCCCAGGCAAGAAGCCACCACAAGTGCTGGCCTGGGCTCTTTAGGTTTGTCTTTGTATGCAGACTTTGGTGTGGAAAAATGTCCTCTTTATTAGTATGTTCTCTGCCTCTGTCTCTATGTGGGTGGGTGGGGGGAGGGGAGTGCTTCCTAATTGCCACATGGAGTGCATCAGAAAAGAATATTGATATTGATCTGACGTAAAGTTAAGGACATCCCTAAAAGGCATTCTTGAGATTGTCTTGTTAAAATAGGTTGGTTTTTAAGGTGTTTATGTGGCTGTAATATGTTTTGTGGCCATTCTTTGAAGCATGGTCGGCTCACAGAGTCCACAGCAGTAGTGGTTTTGAGAACGTTCACTCCTATACTTTGTCTGCCGGTCTCCCTGATGACGGAGCCTGGGTCATCATGCACGTTGAGTTTCTCTTACCCAGAGTACAGGGGACTGGAAGTTTTAACGATTTCAGACTGTTTTAGATTTGGGGATATGCATAGTGAAATATTTAGGAGGCAGCACCTAGCTGTGAGTTCATCTCTTTTTCCCCATATATGTCTTACACACGTAGCCTGAAGAAAATTTTACACGATATTTTAAATAAGTTCGTCATCATCTGCCTGTGATAACATGTCGGTGCTCATAAAATTTTAAGCCTTGGAACATTTTGGGTTTTGGAATTTTGCATTAGGGATATTCCTATTGTACGTAATGAACACAGAGACACAAATCCCATCTGTTTCTAATCCCATATAATTGAGTCCCCAAATCCCAATCCGGGGGGTTCCTAGTGTATTGCAGCTCATGCACAGACTGCAGGGAGGCCGCGCTGACCGATACACAGAAAACCTCATCCAAATTGCACTTGGGCATGATCGGGAGCCAGCCCTAAGAGGAGCATTTTCTTGTAATTGTTACCATGGAGTGTTTGTGTGTCAGTTGTAGAATGCTGGACTCTCTGAAAAGGATGTACCGCTGTGCTTCCAGAGTGGACCTGTGTCCTGGTGTGAGTGGAGAAGCAACACATACCGAGTTCATAACCTCCGAGTGGCATGTCAGTCTCACACAAGTTATGACTTCGGATTATGTCTTTTTTTTTTTTCCAATAGTGTTTCTTTTATGGGATTCATTTTTAAGTAGTGCCTGCTTTGCCCAGCACTCAGGGGGAGGCTCTTGTATCTGCTTAGTACTTTGAGTTCTTGGCGTAAGTCTTGAATTCCTTTATCAGGCAGTTGAATACTGGGGGGCAGGAGCGCTTTGCAAACACGAGACCTGCAGGAAATGCTGAGTAATGATTTGTGTTCCTGCCCCTGTCTTCCTTTAAAACAAATAAACAGAATGGAAACACCCACGGTACTGCCAGAGAGAATGCCAGGGCAAGGCTGGCACAGTTTCTTGGCCTCTGGGGTTTTGTGTCTTGCAGCATCCTGTTGGTGATGTCTGCACTTTGTGCCACACCCCACCTTTGAGACAAGCATACCCGGTATGTGTGCTGTTCTGGCATGGACCTGAGTCCTCCTAGACATTTCTTTTTAATGTTTTCAGCCCACAACCACAACAGAACACCACTGAGGACTCTCCTTGGCTGCTTCCTGCCCTGTGGTTCAATGAGTGATTCCCCAAGAGCAATAACTGCTTAGAGGTACAGCTGGCTCAATCTCCAGGTGCCCACCGTAGCTTCTGACATGCAACAGGCCCTCGGCGAAAGTCTGGAGTGAGTGCAGGTGAAATAGGAAAGTGACAAGCTGGGAGGCACTCCCAAGATCTCCTGCCCTCTGCAGCCCAAAAAAGGACCTGGCTATTACATCTTTTTTTGGCTTTAACCTGAAACAGCAGCTTTAATAAGATATAACTCAAATGCCACAGAAGTTTATCCACACAGTCTACGATTCTGTGGTTATTTACTAAGCATACTGTATGGTGAGTTGAGCAACTAACTGTCAATCACTGTCTACTTTCATAACCCCTAACTTTACCGCTTATCAGCTGTTCCCCTGACTCTAGGCAAACACGTACCTGCTTTCAGCTTCCGTGAGTTTGTTTGTGCTCAACTTTTATAGTAATGCAGCCAAGCTGTGTGTGGTGGTGCTTTGTGGCTGGCTTCTTCTGGTTGGCATAGTGCTTTCAGGGTTCATGCACACTCTAGCAAGCATGAATACTTCATTTCTCTTTCTTTCTGTTAGCGTCCATTGCATGGACGTACCACACAGTTCCTCTGTGCATCATCAGATGGAGCTGTTTAGACCTTTCAACCATAATGCTGCTGTAAACGTTTCCTGGGCCAGCTTGGTGTGGGTGTGTTTTGATTTCTGCAGGAGCCGTAACTGCTCTGTTGTCATATGGTAACTCTATTTAAAAGTTCGAGAAACTCCTAGGGTGCGTAATCTTTGACATAAAACAGGAAGACCTCAGTCTTTAGAGAGTTGCTCTCACTGGTGCCTTGTATTGTGTGACACCCCGAGCTTAATTTGTTACTGGAAGATGAAAGAAGGAAGTGAATTGATAGGGAGGCTTTATACTGCTTCTTGTTTGTAGTTCCTCCAGAGTTGCTTGCCTTTAGAGACTGTCAGAGAAGAGAAGGGTTCGGTGCTGAAGTCAGTTCCCCTTGCCAGTCCTCTTTGGCACCCGTCCGCCTGTGGTTGGCACTGCCACTTTGCTTCTCTAACCCTGGATGGTGTTTGGCAACAAGACACCCATACTAGCCTGTGAATGGTCTTTCCTTCCCGAGATCCATGAGCATGTGAGCAGAGACACTGGACACTTCAGCTGCAGTCTGCTCCACACCTACCTACCATGTGCCCTGAAAGCACAGGACATGCTCTAACTCTGGCCAAATGAGGGATAAGACAGCCAGGTGCTAAGGTTTGCCTAGAAAGACAGACAAGACAAGGAAGTAAGTTAAAAAAATATCCAGATACTTATTGTGAGGACAAGAGGGTGATGCCACTGAGACCATAGAGGGAAGAAAAGACGGGGGTCTGTGGTAGATTAGGTGGTTCACTCTTGCCTTAGTTAACTGTCCCTGAACAAGGTGCTTCAACTCTCTTCTTGTCCTGAATGCCCCATGTAAATCTGGGTCACTCATTGCCTTGGAAGTGACCAACCAGAGTGCTACATTGACTTATGTGTACATTACATTATACACGCAAGGTGTCAGCATCCAATCACCAGAGAGCGTTCCCTCCTGTGATTAATCTAATGCTACTACAGATGGCTTCAAGCCCAGGACCTGCTGTACTGCTGGTGCTGGCTTTCTGTGCTGAGTTCATA